GACTTACTCCGCAATTCAAGCAACTTGGTGGAGGCCCAGACACGGCGACAAGGGCTCCAGCTCAATATTTCCCCATAGGTATTCCGAGAACCCCTGGCCAGAGAGGCCCCCGAACCCAGGAACGGCGCTCTCGGTCGACACTTCTTCGCACTTGAGTCAGTGGCCGACAAGGAAGATATTCCCACCCGGAAGGGGGTGCAATCGAAGACGAAGTGGGAGGGTATCGAGGGTTGGGGTATACGGAATTCAAGACACGCGTGCCAGTGAAAGCGATCAATTTTAATATGATTGAATGGTAATCACTAAACAGTTATTATTGTCTTGCTGGAACCCTTAAAGGAGCCCTGGCGCTCTCGCCGAGGCGCCGGCTACACGTTCATTGAAAATGAGTCTCACGCTCGAGCGGCTTGGGGGACCGCCAAAACCGGCCCCCCAACAACAACAACGCTACCGCTCGAGACTTCCTCTTTTTTGCTCAGGGCTGGTGTTCTTGCTTGCCGTCGACAAGCCGCCGTCCTAACAAAACCCGCGCTTCCGTTCGATGGACTGGCGCGCTAGTCTTTTTCTCATCGGCGCCGCCCCCCGCAAACACAACGCTCCCGCTTGAGGCTTCCTCACTTTTTTATTCAAGGCGGTGCTCCTCCTCGCCACCGACAGCCCCCGCCCGGACAACACCAGCGTTCCCGTCCGAAATGTCCTTGTGTTTTACGCTGGACTGGCGCCCAACTCTCTTTTGAATTTGCGCCGCTCCCATCAAGAACAACGCTCCCGCTCGAGGCTTCCCCCTTTTTCCTGAAGACGGTGCTTTTCCTCGCCGCCGACAACCCCCGTCCCGACAAAACCACGGCTCCCGCTCGATGCTTCTCCCCTTCTTGCTCAAGGCGGTGTTCCTCCTCGCCGCCGAAAACCGCAGCCACGACAAAACCAGCGCTCTCGCCCGAGACTTCCTTCCGTTTTACGTTGGGCTGGCGCCCTGCTCTCTTTTGCATTGGCGGCGCTTCCAGCAAGAACAACGCTCCCAATCGAGCCTTCCTCTCTTTTTCCTCGGGACGGTGCTGTTCCTCGCCGCCGACAGCCACCGTCCCGACAAAACCACGGCTCCCGCTCGATGCTTCCGACTTTCTTACTCAAGTCGGTGTTCCTCCTCGTCTCCAGCGTTCCCGCTTGAGACTTCCTTCCGTTTTACACTGGGCTAGCGCCCTACTCTCTTCAGCATTGGCGCCGCTCCCAGCAACAACAGCAGCCCTGCTCGAGACTTCCTCCCTTTCTACTCAGGGCCAGGTCCTTGCCTCACCGCCGAAGACCCCCATCCCAACCAAGGCAATCCTGTCGTTCGATATTTCCTTGTGCTTTCCTTTCGCTGGGGTTCCACTGGCGGTCTCGCATCGGCGCAGCAAGGCGCGGGCATGTGTGTTTCGAGGCGGGATCTGTTGGAATTCCTCGGGGGACGTTTCTGCAAGACCTCATTGGGCGGAATATCTGGGAATGGGAATAAGGGACCCTGCTATAGAACAAGAGCCCCCCATGATGAGGATGGCTATCATGATGGTCGCATGCTTCGTGTGGAAACATCGCGCATGAAGGTAAACCAGTTTGATTTGGTTGATGTTGTTGCTGTTGCTGTTGCTGTTGTTGTTGTTGCTGCTGCTGTTGTTGTTGTTGTTGTTGTTGTTGTTGTTGTTGTTGTTGTTGTTTGTTGTCGTCGTCCCACCCGCGACCCACCCGCGACCCACCCCGCGACCCAACCCGCGACCCACCCCGCGACCCACCCCGCGACCCACCCCGCGACCCAACCAGCGATCCACCCCGCGACCCACCCCGCGACCCACCCGCGACCCACCAACGACCCACCCCGCGACCCACCCGCGACCCATCCCGCGACCCACCCGCGACCCACCCTCCGACCCACCCGCGACCCACCCCGCGACCCACCCGCGACCGACCCTGTGACCCACCCGCGACCCACCCCGCGACCCATCCGCGACCCAACAGCGACCCACCCGCGACCCACCCGCGGCCCATTTGCGACCCACCAGCGACCTACCCACATAGGTTTAACGAACAAATCAGCGCCTGCGGCGGGCTTCTCCAGAGAATTGCAAACTGCCGACGTCCCCACCCACCCCTCGCTCTTATCCGCGTCTGCGGGGGGCTACGGTATACACATCTATATATATATATGTATATATATACACAAACATCTATATATCCATGTGTATATATACATACATATATATATATATATATATATACGTGTATGTATTCACATATATACATACATACATACATACATACATACATACATACATACATGCATGCATGCATGCATGCATGCATGCATGCATGCATGTCTGCATCCATACATACATACATACATACATACATACATACATGCATGCATACATACATACATACATACATACATGTATACATACGTGCATTCACACATACATACATACACATACATACACACATACACATATCTATGTGTGTATATATACACATATAGATGTATACGTACACACACAAACTTCTTCCCCGACGCAAGTCTGGCCGCCACGGACAACGCAAAATCTGTGCTGGCGTTCATTCCCCGTCTGATCGTGACAAAAGGGCCGCCAACGTTGCCGCCAGATGCCCAAAACGACTACACGCCAGCCGATCTGACTCTTGTCCAACCGCTGGGTGTCTGCGCAGGGGCGACCAACGATCAGGGGTGAGGGGCCTATGGAGGCTTCCAGATGTGATCCAGCGGCAGAGAAAAGCGAACCCGCCCCATCGCCTCGATCCGGCAGAGGAGCCGAGAGAAGGGGGAAGGATCGGGGGGGAACTGTTCAAGGGGGGAGAAGCAGTGACCTGGAATCGGCAATACATCGCCGTTGAATCGGCGTTGGCCCCCGATACCCGATCCGCACGCTTCTGGCGGGACTGGGGATTGAGGTCGAACCTATCTCGAGCGAGCGTTGCCCCTGAAGGGGAGAGAGAATTGAGCAGGCACCGACCGTCCCAGCATTCCTATAGTCCTACCACGAAATGTTCTCAGAACCCCAAAAATGTTCTAAGACCAAAAACAATGTTCTTAGAACATAAACCCGATGCGGTAGAGCAAGACAGACTCCGCCAGAGATATTCTAAGACCATGTCGTCGAAACCACAAAAGGTTCTCGGAGTATTGTTTGGTAGCCATCGCTCGGACGTCCATTCCCTGTGTTTTTTCGGTTTCGTGCGTGGCTTATTCGCCAAATGATCGAGGATGCTCCTCGATGGTCCTCGCCGAAGACAAAACGCACACGTCCGAGCGATGCCAGGGGGCTATAGGCGAGCCAGGACGCTTCGCCACTGCTTGCAGCGAGAGCGGAGACCCTCGACGTGCGCCTTCCGCACCCTCCGCGCGGCGGGCGCCGCGCTGCCGCGGCCGCCGTCGCGGCCGCCATCGCGGCGGCACCTCCCGCGAGGAAGGCGCAGGCCGAGGGGAGGGAGCTGGCCGGCGTGCGCTGCGCCCGGGGGCCGCCCGCGCAAACGCCAGATCTTTGTACATGCCAGTCGGGCCGGGCGACAAGGGGGGGGGGATAGCAAAAGGGGGGGGGTGAGAATCTGCTCGCGTGGCTGATTCTCCCGGCGCCTCCTGGCGCCGCCGGCGGCCACACGCATCGAGGAACGGGCCCCATCGGTGGGGCCGAAGCCAGCTGCACTCACGGCAGACTTCGCACCCCCCCCCCTTCCCTCTCTCCCCCCCTTTCGCTCGGCCCGAGCCTTCTGTCGGGCGTGTCCCCCTACAGGGGGATTTTCGACGAAAAATAATCAAATAACCCCAAAATGCTCCAAAATGGTCAAGAAATATTCCAAAAATTGTCCCCAGGCTATTTTTGGAGTATTTTGGGGGTATTTTTAATGCTTCGTCGAAAATCCTCCTGTAGGGGGACAGGCCCGCCTAAACCCGAGCCAGGCGGCGCTCTGCCCTACCCTACTGTATTTCGGGAGCGGCCAAGAGGGGGGTGTCCAAGAGGGTGTGTGTGTGTGTGTGTGTGTGTGTGTGTGCAAATTCATGACCGGCGGCATGTGCGCGGCCCGGCGGGGGGGCCAGGGACGCAATGAAACAAGACGAGGCGCCGTGAGATCTGGGGAAAGATATCATGGCCCCCGCCATGATACTCCGGATTCCATAACAAAGTGGGGGCGGTCACATTCGGGGGGGGGGGGTCTAATTTGAGCTGTCTTGGAGGGTTCGGGGGGGTCTGGGCAAAGGGCCGCCCTCTGATGGATAGCCTGGGGGGTCTAAAACTCCTCGTCTGGGAGGGTTGTGACCCCCTCCCTTTTATTACGAAATCTGGAGTATCCCCCCCCTCCCCCCGCTGATGAGGATCAGCGTGGGGAGGAGGAGGAGGAGGAGGAGGAGGAGGAGGAGGAGGAGGAGGAGGAGGAGGAGGAGGAGGAGGAGGCGGGCAGCGCCTAGTCATCACCCCCCTCTTCTCCGCCCCCGAGCATTCTCTGTACACGGGCCGGGGCGCCTCCCGCCCTCTGCCCGGTGGAGGGCCGCGGCCGAGGCCGCGGCGGCCGTCCCGCGGCGCCCCACCGGGCGCGCCGCCGAGCACGCCACGCCGCCGCCCGATCGCCGTCGCCGACGGGGTCGAGCTCGCTGCCGCCGCCGCCGCCGAGCTGCCGTCGTCGTATCACGCAAGCATGTCTTGTATCCCAAATAATATGCAAAACCAATGTCGTTACCAGTTTAATCCATTCTTTGCACGTCTAGACGAGATTCGAAATTCCAATTTTGTTGGAATATCATGTTTCAAATGTACGTTGTATTTTCGTTTTTTAAGGGAACGGGTTTTCTAGATGTGATGTTCTTATTTCTAGATCCTGGGCCCCGCCCGAGGTGCAGCCCCGCCGTGGCGACGAGGAAGGCCCCCCCGCAGGCCCCCGAGGGGTGGGCGACGGGCGCGCCGGGGGAGGCCGCCGCTGCCTCGCCCGCCGGCCCTCCGACCTGCGGCCCGCCGCCGCGGGCCGCCGAGACGGCGGGGGGCGGCGGCACGACGTGGGGAGGCCAGGCCTATGTCGGGCCTGTCCCCCTACAGGGGGATGTTCGACGACAAATAATAAATACCCCCAAACATACCCCCCAAAAAGGTCCCCAAACACTTAAAAAATAGTCCCTGGACTATTTCTGGAGTATTTTTTGACTACTTTTTACCTTTCGTCGAAAATCGCCCTGTAGGGGGACAGGCCCGACTGAAGGCCAGGCGATCGTCGCGCCGCTGGGCCGCGTCCTGGCCCGCATGTCCGGGGCGAGTCGAGCTGTGGCGGCAGGGGCCCCCAGGGGGGCGCGGCAAAGGCGGCGACGAGGCCGTGGTCGCGGCCTGTCGGTCCCTGCTCCTCCTCTGACGCGAGCCGCCGCCGCCCCGCCGCCGTGGACCGACTCGCCGCCGCGGACCGACGGCGCGCCCAGCGGGGAGGGGAGAGGCTTTGTGGGCCCGGGAAACGGCAGGGCCGTTTTTTCACCGTTTCCGGAAAAAGTGTCCCTTGAACATGGAAACGGGGCAAGAAACGGCGACCGGAAACGGCAAAAAGACGGCTCCAGGATTGGAACCGGAGCGGGAACCGGTCAAAAAACGGCGACGGAACGGGTAGAAAAACGGCGTCGGAACCGGCAAACAAACGGCAAAACGGAACTGGTAAAAAAACAGCCCTGTCGCTTCCAGGGCCCACTAAGGGGAGAGGCCGCCGGCCTCCTCAGGAGGCGGCGGGGACTCGCAGGAGCTCTCGTGGCTTCTGAGAAATCCCCTGCGCCTCCGGGGGGGGGCCCCGCAAACTCCTCGGAAGGCCTGAAGCGCCTTCCGAACTCTCTGAGACAGCCCGCCCCCTGTGTTGGACGCCCGAAATGGGTGCGGACAAAACGGGTACGATGCCCCAAAACAAGTGCTGTCCAAAACCGGCAGCGGCCGCTGTTGGGCGGACGGCTTCCTGCCTCAAATGGACAACGTCCGCGGCGGCGCGGACAATGAGTCGGGTTCAAGATGAACACGCATTGCTGTTGGCCATCCTGCCCATTCTTTCCGTACCCATTTCGTTCTTGACGATCTGTGTGGAAACCAACAGGTGCCGATATTGCTACTGCCCGAACCTCTCCCGGACTGCGTTATGACCATCATTTCGAAGCGAATCCAGCGGTGGCGACGAGGGCCTCCCAGGAGGCCCCAAAGGGGGCAAACGGGCGCATGGTAGCGGTATGGGAACGTCTCCCTCCTCTTGAGCAGGGACCGACCGTCCCGGCATTCCTAGAGGCCTACCACAACATGTTCTTGGAACCCAGGAGTGTTCGAAGAACAGCACTGTTCGTAGAACGTGAGCTCGATGCGTTCTCAAGCAGGCCCGTTTCGGCCAGAACTGTTCTGAGAACCTCTCGCGCAGACCATAAAGAGGCTCCTGGAACACTCTCTGGTGGGCCCATGGGCAGGCCAGGACGCTTCGCCACTGCTTTGAGGTCCTCGGGCCGCGCCACCCGCCCCTCCGCTCGCCGCCGAGTGAAGACCGGCCAGCGGCGGCGGCAGCGGCCCGTTCCGCGCCGCCTCAGGCCACCTCGAGCACGGGGGGCGGGAGCAGCGGCTCCCCGGAGGCCCGCTGCGGCGCGAGCCTCGGCTCTCCCTCCTCTGACGGGCCTGTCTCGTCCAGCACCACCACCAGGAAGTTGGAGGGGAGGGGGAGGGAGGAGGAGGGGAGGGAGGAGAGGAGGGGGGAGGAGGAGGAGGAGAGAGGAGGAGAGGAGGAGGAGGGGGAGGAGGGAGGGGAGGAGGGAGAGGGAGGAGGGGAGGAGGGAGGAAGGGAGAGGAGGAGGAGGAGGGAGGAGAGAGGAGGAGGAGGAGGGAGGAGGAGGAGGAGGAGGGGGGGAGGAGGAGGAGGAGGAGGAGGAGGAGGAGGAGGAGGAGGAGGAGGAGGAGGGAGGAGGGGGAGAGGGAGGAGGGAGGAGGAGAGGAGGAGGAGGGAGGAGGAGGAGGAGAGGAGGAGGAGGAGGAGGAGGAGGAGGAGGAGGAGGAGGAGGACCCCCTCCCCCTCCCACCTATGGTGGTGGCGGTGAAAGACAGGCCCACCACTCCTCCACGCCGGCCGCCCCGCCGGGCGCCCAGCCTCGGCCCAGCGCCGCCTCGTTTTTTGCGAGTCATGCAAAGATCTGCCCAGCGCCGCCGCTGGAAGAGGAGGAGCCAGCCCTCGAGCAAGGGATCGACTACATAACTGGCGTGGCCCAGAATTGGAGTTGTCTCGCCGGATCGTCGAAGGATGCGTCGACTGCCACGTAGATCTACGGGGGCATCCGACGCTTCTCTGTTTCGTCAATCCAGCGGGGAACTCCTGTTGGGGAAGATCGATTATGTTGTCGACCTCCTGCTCGAAGCACTCGCCATCGCTCGGACGACCATTCCCCGTACATCAGTCGGCTTCGTGCGCCTATTTCTCGCAAGATGAATTGCATTCTCCTCGATGATCCACGCCGAGGAAATTAGCCTGGCGAAGGACCCAGCCATATGCAGTTGTGAGTCACGCAGTTGTGAATACCGACTTCGGTGGAACTCCCTATGGGCCACGAAACGTGTGAGAGACGTGCCGAACGGAATGGCGGGGACGCATGCGGGCTGCGCCACTGGGACCCTCGGTGGAGCTCCTATGGGGGCCACGGTGTGCCGACATGAGTGGCGGGGACGCGTGCAAACTGTGCCACTGGGACCTTCGGCGGAGCTCCTATCGGGCCACGATGGGGCGGCGCCGCCATGCGGACTGCGCCACTGGGACCTGAGGTGGAGCTCCCTATGGAACCACGAGACGTGTGAGGGGTGTGCCAAAATGGGGCGGCGCCGCCATGCGGACTGCGTCACTGGGACCTTAGGTGGAGCTCATTATAGGGGCCACGAAGCGTGTGAGGTGAGTGCCAAAATGGGGCGGCGCCGCCATGCGGACTTCGCCACTGGGACCTTGGGGGTAGGTTCCTATGTGGCCACGAAAACGTGTGAGGGGTGTGACGAAGACGATGACGATGACGATGACGATGATGATGATGCTGATGATGATGCTGCTGATGATGATGTTGATGATGATGATGATGACGACACTGATGGTGATGATGACGGCCATGCTGATGATGCTGATGACGGCCATGACGTTGATGATGATGATGATGATGATGATGATGATGATGATGATGATGATGATGATGATGATGATGATGATGACGACGACGATGACGATGACGATGACGACGATGATGCTGATGACGATGGGAGGGAAGGAGGAGGGGGAGGAGAGGAGGGAAGCGCGGCACTCTCTTCAAAACGAGGACCCATCACCACAAGATGACTGGGGAAACAAAGGCGCACGTCAGAGAGATGCCAAGAGCGGACGCAGAAATAGGACGAGACTGACGTCACCATAATCGGGGATGGACAGACCCCCCTTTAGCAAAACGTGGTTTAGTGAAAACGACCTGAGGCCCAAACCTGGCGGGCGCGAGCCTGGAAAATAACGGCCACGGCACCCTATCGAGATCCGGAAACGGACAATTTACTAATCGACGTGTCACTATTGGGGGTTCTGTCCACCCCCGATCCAGAGTGTCCAGCGGCCTCCCATCTAGAGCCCTGGGGTATTTCGGCAACCTGGAGCACCCTGAAAGACTTGGACCTCTGGTAGTTGAGCGCTGATACGGTTAATCACATGCACAGATCCACCGCCTCTTCCTCCACCTCTTCCTCCTCCTCCCTCCTCCTCCTCCTCCTCCTCCTTCCTCCTCCTCCTCCTCCTCCTCCTCCTCCTCCTCCACCTGCTCCCCCTCCTCCTTCTCCTCATCCTTCATCCTCCTCCTCCTCCTCCTCCTCCTCTTCCTCCTCCTCCTCCTGGGGGAGGGGAGGGGGAGAGGAACGAGACAAATCAATATGGCTGTCATCCTGTCCGGTCTTGGGTCGGCGCCAGAGGCGCCGACTCAAGACCGGAGCGTCGCCAAGTGGGCCCAGCGCCCATTCCAAACACACGCGCGAAGTTTTTTCAAAGTTTGTGCCGAATGCGGCCAAACGATCCAGACAACAAATCGGGCAGAAACGACTCGGCCTGGCGGCCTCGACAGCGACGACGACGACGAAGCGGGCAGTATCTTTGAATCGTCCACTTCCCAGTGGTGCGCCGCAGCCCCCCTCCTTGCCATCGTTCGGACGTCCATGCCCTGTGTGTTTTTCGATTTCGTGCGTGTGCTTTTCGCAAGATGCCCCAAGATGCTTCTCGATGGTCCTCGCAGAGAACAAATAAATGCACACGCTGCCGCCTCTTCCTTCTTCGAGCATCCCCGCGCGCAGACGCAGCGCCGAGGCGTTCTCAGAGGTCTCCCCAGTGGGGTCCGAGCTGATGGGGTCGGAGAAACCCGCCGCATCGCCGGTGCATCGTCGACGCACCGGCGACGTCGGCGAGGCATCGGCGACGCTGGATCGCAGAAACTCCGGCTACACCTCGAGCCGCATCGGCGGTGCATCGGCGATGCTGCGCAACCCTCCGACCCCATCGAACTACTCCAGCCCTTAATGGGCCCTGGAAACGGCAGGGCCGTTTTTGTTACCGGTTCCGTTCTGCCGTTTTTTTGCCAGTTCCGACGCCGTTGTTTTACCGGTTCCGTCGCCGTTTTTTGACCGGTTCTGGCTCCGGTTCCGATCCTGGAGTTTTTTTTTTTTGCTGTTTCCGGTCGCCGTTTTTTCGCCGTTGCCATGTTCAAGGGGCATTTTTTCGGAAACGGTGAAAAAGCGGCCCTGCCGTTTCCGGGGCCCACAAAGCTCCAGCCCCATCAGGGAGGCCTGGGGTTCTTCAAGCACCCGGAGGCTCGCCGGGTCGCCGCGCGCCCCGCCCAGCGCCGGGCCCTCGCCCGAAGCCGCCGCCGAGGCCCAGTCCACCTCGCACCGCATCGGGCACGCCGCCGAGATGAAGAGCCAGCCGTCCGCGCAGGCCGCGTGGAATCCGCCGGGCTCATGCACCCCCGGGCACGCCCGTGGGTGAAGGGCCCCAGGGACACACAAATAAATACACACAAATAAAAGGATTCCCTTACATTTTCCAATATTTTCTGGGTTTTTGTCTTCCCCCCAACTTCCCATGTGTTCCCATATTTTCTGGGGGATCGACGATTAATTGTGTCTGTGTGTTTTTTGTCCCTCCTGAGTGGGCGTGAGCAGAACACGGGGTGCCTGCTGGCTGCCTGTCGCGCGCACGGACAGAAGAGCCAGCAGCAGCAGGCACACAATCTTTGGGACCTCTGGGCGGATTTCTTGGATCGGCGCTGGGCCCCCCCTGGCGGCGCCTCCGGCGTGGTCCCTGGCGCGTCGGCGCGCCAGGGAGCGGGGGGCCAACGCCGATCCAAGAAGCCCGTGATTGGAACCTCGAATGCGGGCACGATGTGTGTACAACTTGGCATGAAGGAAGCGGGTTCTGAGGGGCAACGCCTCCTGGACCCCTGGGGAACTCCTGCAAGACCCCACTCTTCCTCCCTGCTCGTCTGCTGACAGTCCCGCGGGGCCCGTGGAGGGCCCCGGGAGCCCAGACACGGCGAGAAGCCTCGGGATCCGCTTCCCTCGGGACCCCCGCTTTCCTGGCGAACCGCACTCCTGGCGCCAGCCTGGCGCAAGCGTGCGCGCGCCGAGGGCGACGACGGCGGCGACGGCGACGACGCCGCCGACGACGTCGACGCCGAGGCGCACCGCCCCCCGAGCCCCCCGCCCCCCGCGCGGCCCCACGACGGCCCTGCCGAGCCCCATCGGGAGAACCTGGGAGAGCCAGGATGCTGGCCGCCGTCGGGTAGTGCGCCGCATGAAGCAGATCCGCGGCGAGCCCAGGGAGGAAGTGAGAAGGAGAAGGCCTTCACAGAAGACTCAGAAGTCTCTGGGCCTTCTAAGAAGTTTTCCAAACCTTCCCCGGCGACACAGAGAACTTCGCAGAAGGCGCGAGGGCTTCTGAGAAGTCCCGCCACCTTCTGAGAAGGCCTTCTCCTTCGCACTTCCCCCTCGCTCGCCACCGAGAAGAGGGCTCCCATACTCGCGGCCTTACGTGGGAAACTCACGCGCGAATGTCCGCGCAAATGACCCCGCTTTCTTCGCCGCTCATCTTGCGGGGAAGATTTCAATCCACATCCACTGCGTCTTTGGACTGACTTTCTGGGAAGCGGCACCAGCAGTGGATGTGGATGCAATTTCTGGCCTGTGGGGGCCAGACTTGTATCCGTACCCGCTGCGCCTGGGGAAGGGAACCCGGAACTCCAAGATGCGGTGAAGGTGGATACAGACGTCTGTCACGAGGGGCACAGACACCGAAGAGAAGGCCTGCGGCGCGCTGAACGAGCGGCACTGCTCAGAAGGCGGCGGGGCTTCTCCGAAGCCCTCCGGCCTTCTGGCCCCCCCTTGTGTCATCGGAGAGGGCTCGGCCTGCTTCCCAGCCTCGGGCCCGTGAGAAGGTCCGCCCCCTCTGCAGGAGACGGCCCCAAAGCCTGCGGGGAGGCCTTCCCTGGCACGTCGGCGGGGCCCGCCGCAGGCGCGCCGGATTCGTGGCCGCAGGGCAGCCGCCGGAGCGTCTCCCCGTCCTGGACGGTCTCCAGGCAGACGGCGGGCCAGGCAGAGTCGGAGGCCGCGCCCCGCCCCTCGGCTGCTGGCCTCTGCATCCCTGCCTGCTGCCCTGAGCGCCTCTTGTGCATGCCTCCTGCCTCCTGGCCGGCCCTCGCCCTCCCTGCCTCTCCCCTCCGTCCTCCTCCTGTTCGCGCCCAACTCCCTATGGTTCCCTGGTCGCGAGGGAATGGTTCCCGCCGGATTTGGCGACGGGACAGCGTGACCCCAGGGATGCATCCTGTGAAAGTGACGACGAAGACGCCTACGGCGAATCACCGCCGCCCCTCTTGGCTTTTGATAACGCCCATGCGGCCAAGCGTTCGGCCAAAGCATGGCCACGCTACACTTGGGAGAGGAAGAGAAAGGAGTATAGGGAGGAGAAGGAGGACGAGGAGGAGGAGGGGGAAGAAGAGGAGGCCCTTGAGGCTCTCTTGGGTTCTCCTGGGGGTTTCTGGGAGCCTCTCGGGGGCCTCTCGGGGCCCCTACATGGCCTCTTGACCTTCGGAGGCAGTCTTGGGTGGTTCCCTCTTTCGGAGTTGGGGGCCGTCTGGAAGTCCATGGGGCCGTGACTCTCGGGGCCTCTTCGACAGTCTTGGGGCGATCGTGGGGCCCGAAAATGCAAGAACGCTAACATCATGGAACAAAAAAGGGTAACCAATGAGTTTGGCCTCCTGGAGGTCCCCTTGGAAAGCCCTTGGGGCGTCTTGGGGGCCTCGTGGGCCGTCTTGGGCCGTCTTGGGCCGAATCGCGGTCCCCGGCCCCTCCCGGGGTCCCAGCGCACCGCTTCCCCGAGCTGCGTCCAGCCGTGGCGACGAGGGGCCACTCCGAAGACCGTTGCCTCAGTTGGGCCTCCTCTGAGTCGGAGCGCCATCTTGTTGGTTCGGGGGGTCAGGAGGCAACTACTGGGAAGTCTCCATCGGAAGGACTAAGAGGCTTAGGCCCCATTGGCGGGCTGATACGCCGGATTGGGCCGCGAATTGAGCGGGATTCAGCCAGATCAAGCGGGATTTAAGCCGGGTTAAGCGAGAGTGAGCTGGAGTTCGGACCAGGGCACAGTCAGAATTCGACCTCCCAGGAGTCGCATCCGAAGGCGGCCATCGCTCGGACGTCCATGTTTTGTGTTTTTTTCGGTCTGGTGCGTGGTTTTTCCGCCAAGTGGTCCAGGATGCTCCTCGATGGTCCTCGCCGAGGAAAAAAACGCACACGTCCGAGCGATGCCAGGATCCGAAGGCGGGGGGGGGGCTCGCCGAGTCCCCTGGCCGCATGGCGCAGCAGAGGTCCGCGCCGCGGGCGGGCGCGTGCGCCCCGCCGGCCACGTGGGTGGGCAAGCAGGCCAGGAGCTCCAGCGGCAGCCCGCCGCGCGGCTCCGCCGACTGCCGCGACCGCCGCGCCACTTTCGCCTCGGGAGGGAGCCACACAGTCGAGGCATTGACCCAAGGAGCCCTAAATAAGGAACGAGGCCTCTATTTTAGAAGTTAAACTTCGACTTCCGATCGAAAACTTAAGGAAAACCTGAGGCAAACTGCGAAACACTTAAGGAAAGCGGAGCCCCTCCCCAACGAAAAGGGTTCCTTCTTCAGGGCCCCGACTGTAAACTCGGGCGAGGAAAAACCGTGAATCTCTAGTATCCAGCAGCTTCGGAGGATGGTCAGGCCGCCGCGGCCTTCTCACACCGTTCCCGAACGCTCTGAGAGCGTTCCGGAGCGCTCTGGAACGTATCTATCCTCGTCCTAGCCCCGTCCGAAGACACCCGCGCAGACCGTGGCCAGGCCCGCCTTGGGCCCCAGATCGGCGCATATAGCTTGAGGTCCGACTTCGCGTCGAAACTGCAACCTCGCCCACAAAACTCGACCGGAGCCCTGCAGCCGCTCTACGCGCGAGCGTGCGCGCTACGCGCAGCCGCAGGGATGCGCCAGCAAGTGCCAAGTGGTCACCGCAATCGCGGCCGGTATGTTTCTCTGGGTACTCTTTTTCACGGCCCCGGGGCCCGTCGACGCGAGGCGGTCTGCAGTAGCGCCCAGGACCTGGACTCGGATCGAAAAGTCGGATCGGCAATCGTAATGACTGGGATCGGCGGACATCGGCAGGCTGGGGAGGACCTCCGTGGAGAAACCGACGCCCAGACTGGAACCCGAAGCCGACTCGAATCGGCATCGGACCCGATCGGAACCGAGCCGCCTCGCGTCGGAGGCATCGACGTGGGCCCTCCTATAGTCGGGAGCAGCCAAGAGGGGGGCGTCCAAGAGGGGGGGGTGCAAATCATGACCGGCGGCATGTGCGCGGCCCAGCGGGGGTGCCAGGGACGTAGTGAAATAAGAAGAGGCGCCATGAAACCTGGGGAAATATCATGGCCCCCGTCATGATATCCACCCCCCCACTAGTCACCACCCCCCTCTTTTGAAGGGGCCCAAGGACACACAAATAAATACACACAATCAACAGGATTCCCCACATTCTCCCCCATTTCCTGGGCCTGTGTCTTCCCCACCACCTCCCACATTTTCCCCCATATTCTCCTGGGGGATCGACGATGACTTGTGTCTCTGTGTGTTTTTCCCCTCCTGCTCTTCGCCGCCCCCTCCTGTGGGGGCCACTGGGTCCTGGGCCTGGGCCTGGCCGGGGAGGGCGTGCGGCACGCCGGCCTCGGGGGCACGCGCGGGGGAGCCCAGGCGCGGGGGCGGGGTGCGGGCGGCGCCCGCCGGTCGCCGCCGCGGCCACTGCCAGGCCGAGCGCCGCGTAGACGACGGCCAGCGCCTTCGGGGGGGAAAAAAAACCAAAACACACACACACAAACACAAACACACACACAAAACACACAAAACAACATAAAAAACACAAAACACACACAAGCAAAACACACACACACACACAC